CAGAGTGCCATGGCATTACAGCTCACAGCAACCTCCAACTCCTGGGCTCAAGCGAGTCTCCTGCCTCCGCCTCCCAAGTAACTGGGACTACAGGAATACCTGGCTATTTTTCAGTTGTAGTCATCATTGTTGTTTGGTTGGCCTGGGCTGGATTTGAACCTGCCAGCTCTGGTGTATGTGGCCGGTGCCTTAGCCCTTGAGCTACAGGCACCGAGCCAACATTTCATTAGTTTTAATTTTTAAATCTTCTAATGTTCCTCTTAACCCTTTTCAATTTTTTAACATATTTCTCTAGCTTATCGAGTTGAATCCTTAAAACTTTGCCTCTTTCCCATACACGAGCAGTTGTGAACTTACATCAGTAAAACCGTCCTGTGTCCTCTCTGTATCTATTTTTGGTATATATTGTCTTCAGTATTATTTGTTTCCAAATAGTCTGAAATGCCCATTTAATTTTCGTGTGAAGCAGGAGCATGTAGAAAAGGCTGTTTAGGCTTTCAGGTGGACAGATATTTAGGCTGTGGGGTCCAGCGTGCCGCCTCGTGGGATGTCTGCCTTCTGGGTCCTGAGTCCTGCTGGGCAGCCAGCACCATGAGGGGCATCTGTGAATTCTTCTTGGACTCATGAAAAGAGAGGGTTGTGTTTCCTTCTGCTGGATCTCGAGAGAAGCACAGAGAGGCTGTGGGCACAGACTCTCGGCTCCTGCTGAAGCAGTGCCAGGTGCACTCGGAATCCGATGACTTCCACCAATGTCTATGGGACCCCGACTGCCCATGGTGGCCGCTCTGGCTGCAGCCCGGCACTGCTCTGTCCTGGCTGCCGGCCATTCCTTTCCTGCCCCTGCCCGCCCATCGGTCTGCTGGCCTCCTCAGTCATCTCTCCCTTTCCCTTAGGGAATTTTTATTTCTAGGTTTAATTGGACGATTTTCTTCTGTTCTTGGGGTCCTTACTTCTGCAGAGTAGTCAGGACTGTGGCCTTGGGGCTATGGGTCCGTCCCTCACACCAGGATGATTCCCCTCATTGCCAGGCCAGGCCGCCTGCCCTGCCCTCCTCGTCCTAGCCTTTTCTGTCTGGCAGTTAGCTGTGTGGCTGTCTGCGAGATTTGGGTCATCTGGACATCAGAGTATCCTGCCTTTGGTTTCCCTGGGCCCTGGGTGCTTCTCTACCACCGCCGCCTCTGGGGACAGTATCCTGCTTGTACTTCAGAAGCTGCAGCCTCTGCATGTCCTGGTCATCGTGTTCCCACTCAGAGTTTGTGTTTGAAGCCCCTGGGTGGTCGTTTGCATTTTTAAGTGAGGTCCAGATTGTTCTGTGTTATGGGATGAGACGTGGTCTGCACCAGGAAGGTCATGTTATGCATGTGTAGCAGATGGCAGGGGCCCGTTGTGGGGCCTGTCCCTCCCTGGGTACCTGTGGGCCCCGTCATTCCCAAGGGCACTGCCCCTCCTGCAGCTGATGGGAAGAGACCTGGGTGTGGGAAGGATCCTCAGGGTTAGCACCAGGAACACAGGATGAGGTGGCTAGGACTCCCAAAGCTCTGAGGCAGGCTACCCCAAGAAGGAAAGCTGGGGTCCTTAGACAGGCCACCCTGTTATTCCTGAGATCCCCTTCCCCAGGGGCATAGGGAGAACAGAGGCTGTGGGCTCAGGGCCTGGGGGGCTGCCTGTGTCTCTCTGTGCTGGCAGGGGAGACTGCAGGAGGAGGCCTTGCCAGCCCATGGGCTGGTATTTCATGGGTAGCAAAGTGGGGTAGGCTGTGGGCCATAGGGCCTGGTGGGTTAGCCCATCCTGGGGGCAGCCCCAGAGCTGGGAGGGTGAACAAGGCTAAGGGGTGCTGCCAGGGGGTCCATATTCCCCACAAGACCCAGCTTGGGTTCCAGAGGCAGCTTCCTGAGAGGGGCCTGGGGGCCGCAAGCTGGGGCTGGGGTCCTGCAGGGCTGTGAGGGAGCCTGGCCTGCTAGGCTTACAGAGACCAGCACCAGGTGACAGCACCGCCCTTCTCCCACCCTACCCCCTGTGTCCACACGCAGGAGAGAGGGTCAGCATGTGACAGAGGTGGCTTTATTAGGATGCAGAGGGACATCACTGCCTGAGACCAGGCCTGCTGGGCCTGGGGACACCCTGCGTGAGGGGCACTAGGTAGCAGCTGGGGCTTCTGAACAGCAAGTACCAGGGAAGGATGGGGAGAGACCACGCTGGACCCCACAGCCTGGGTTGCAGAGATAAGGGGCTTTCCCACTCGCTCTGTGCCAGAGCCAGAGAGGGGGTGGTTGGGGCAGGCAGGTGGTCAGCTCTCATCAGGGGTGAGATCCATGACGATCAGCAGCTGGACTTCTAGCAGGAGGCGAGGCTGCAGCAGGCCGGGCGGGAGCAGGCTGGGCGGCAGAGGAGGGACACACAGGAGGCTGGGCGGGGGCAGCAGGGCTGGCAGGAGGAGGTGGGGACCCAACAGGCAGGTCTGCACACAGGGCGGCAGAGGAGGGACACACAGGAGGAGGGTCTGCAGCAGGAAGAGGGGCTGGGCTGGCAGCACGAGGGGGCCAAACAGGGGGTGACCCCAGAGCAGATGGGCACACAGCACATGGGCTTGCAACACACAGGCTTGCAGCTCACAGGCACACAGCAAGCTTGCTGGCAGGGGGACGGGGTACAGCAAGCCAGCTGGCAGCTAGATTGTTGGCAGCATGAAGAGGAATCCCCAGAGCAGGCAGGCACACAGCAGATGGGCTTGCAGCTCACGGGCACACAGCAGGCCGGCTGGCAGGAGGATGGGGTGCAGCAAGTCGGCTGGCAGCTAGACTGCTGGCAGCATGAGGGTGTGCAGGAACTGGTGCAGACTGGTTGGCAGGGGCTGGACACACAGCTCACAGGGCTGCAGACCAGGGTCAGGCAGGGGGTTGGGGCACAGCAGCTGGGAGCACAGCAGGAAGGCTCACAGCAGCTCTCTGGACAGTCATCCACCTGCCAGGGCTCAGTGCAAGTGCTGGAGCAGACAGACATGGTGGACATGGCCATGCTGGGGCTGAGCTGGAGTAGGTGAGATGAGAGGAAGGCGTGAGTGTGGGTGAATGTGTGGGTGCTCTGTGCTCTGGGGCTTTTATACCCCTCTGGGCTGTGTAGTGTTTCCCCCAGCGGGAGGCTGGGCCACGCCCTGTCCTTCCTTGTTGATGTTTTGGGCCAGGAGGACCCTCATCAGGGCGGCTTCTCTTGCCAGGACACGACCTTGCTCAGCTCATGAAACTCAGCTGGTCTGGGCAGGACCACGCCCCTGGCTGGGTGTGGCCCCATGGGACACCTGGGCCTGGTCCCCTGCTTGCACCTGGCATGTCTGGGGATGCAGTGTCCAGGTAGTTTCCAGGCCCTGGGCTCTGCTCCACGGTGTGCCCAGCCTGTCTGCAGTGACCTCGCCTAGGCCACCTGGCCTGGGTGGCTGGGACAGGAATGGAGGTACCTGTTTGAGGAAAGGCTGTGTGATTACCAAGCTTCCCAGCAGGGTCTGGGATCTCCCATCATCCCACTGTCAGCCAAGGACAGTGAGGACCTCTCCTCCCCTGAGAAGGAGGTGGAGGTGAAACCTTCCAGCACAGCCTGCTGCATGGGGTTCATCAGGACAAGCGGACTTGGGGGCTGCACCAAGTCTAACATGGGTTCTGAACCACCGTCCCCTAAGCCCATGGTCAGTTGTCCAGTGTGGGAGGTGCCTCCTGGATGAGGACCTGAGGGGGCAGGGCCTGAGCCTGCTGGGGGTGGGTGCATGGCAAGGGTGGTGAGGAGAAGCCGGAGGACACTGGAGGTCAGCAAAGCCATCTGTGCCTGGGAGGTCAGGTGGGCAGAGTGGGTCCCAACCCTGGGAGCTGAACGGCTACAAGTCTGCTTCTCTGTCCTTAGGCCTGAGCCAGGCATGGCCTGCTGACAGTCCCCCAAGGAGCCAGTGGTGTCTCCTTAGTCCTTCCAGCCTCTTCCATCTGGGGGAAGAGCAGAGGGTCTGAGGGGATGAGGACAGTCTGTTATCCAGAGCCAGCCCATGAGGCCGAGGAGGCCTTCCAGGGAGCTGGCCTGTGGGGGCTCAGGACAGGTAGTGGGAGGCCAGTGGCATAGAGTGGGGTCGGTGGAGGGAACAGCCTGGGGCAGGCCCTGAGTGACAGACAAGTCCCAGCATTCACTTTTGAAACCTGACCCTGGGGCTCAGCCTGGACCCCAGTAACCCCTCATCCTGTCCCACACTGAGGGCCCACGGATAGTGCAGGTGTCACGTCTGCCACCACACGGGAGTTCTGCTGGGGCAGAACAGCCATGGTGAGGTCAGAGGAGAATCCTGCACAGAGTCAAGGGGAAGAGGCACAATGTCTCTCAGTGGAAGCATTTCATGAGATTGAACAGCTGTATCTGATAAGAATTCTTAGCAATTTTAATATCTAAAGCAAACGCTCACTGATTGACAAAGGATATCTATGAAAAATCTATGGCAAAAATCTTACTTGTAGAAATTACAAAGCGTTTTTAAAAACTTAATGCAGGGTCTCCCTATGTTCCCAAGCTGGCCTCACACTCCTGGCCTCAAGTGATCCTCCTGCTCTGCCTCCCGCGGCACCAGCACTATAGGTGGGAGCACTCTACCTGGCAAAGTCTCACTTTACATTGTCATATAAAGTCACTGGCCATGTTCACTGCCCAGGGGATGTGGGGTGCACTCTCAGCACCTGCATCCCTCCCCGCACTGCTGCTGCTCCTAGAGAGGAAACACAGGGGAGCGGAGGTGCGTCCCTGACCATCCAGCACCCAGTGGGAAAGCTGCAGGGTCAGGTGTGAACAAAACAGGAACACTTGAGCACATGCCCGGGAGACTGGGCAGTCAGGGGAAGTCTGCACATCTCTGATCATCCTGGACGTCGCTTCAGTCGACATCCCACAGGAGTATTTACGGTACCCAAGTGAACATGGTGCGTTGCCAGCAAATGCTCACACTGTCCACGCAGATGAGAGCTTAACAGGAAAACCTTAGCGTCCTCGCAACTGGAACAGGATGAGGTGCAAAAGGGTCGATTATAAGATTAAAAATGTAATTTTCCAATAAGTACCTGAATAGCTTCTTGATCTTATTAATAAGTTTCTCAAATTTAAACACAAATAACCCTCCCATAAGATCGGCCCAGTTTTTTTTTTAGAGACAGAGTCTCACTTTGTTGCCCTTGGTAGAGTACTGTGGCATCACAGGTCACAGCAACTTCCAGCTCCTGGGCTTAGGTGATTCTCTTGCTTCAGCCTTTCAAGTAGCTGGGACTACAGGCGCCTGCCACAACGCCCAGCTATTTTTTTGTTGCAGTTTGGCCAGGGCTGGGTTCAAACCTGCCACCCTTGGTATATGGGGCTGGTGCCCTACTCACTGAGGCACAGGCACTGCCCTGATTGGCCCAGTTTTAAAATGCTGACAATATCCAGCACTACTGAACATGGTGACCCTGTTTTCAGTAATGCCTGGCAAGTGTGATTTTATGAAAATTGTGATGACCCACAACATAAATTTTGCCATTTTACCCATGTTGAAGTGCACAGTTCCATGGCGTTTATTACAGTCACATATTGCACAACCATTATCACTCTAGTTCCAGAAAATCCTCACGGCTCCATGAGGGAAGCCCAGACCCCCCAAATGGGCACTTCTTGGCCTGCCGGCCACCCGCCTTCTCTCTGTCCTTAGGGACCGGCCTCGGCCACTTCTCGGCCTGCTGGCCACCCACCTTCTATCTGTCCTTAGGGACTGGCCTCGGCCACTTCTCAGTCTGCTGGCCACCTGCTCCTCTGTCCTTAGGGACCAGCCTTTTCTGTGCGCTTCTTGTGAGTGGCTTCATACGATGTGTGGTGTTTGCATCTGGCTACATGTGTGGCCCCACAGTCCTCAGTATGGCTGAATGCTGTTCTGTGACATGGATGTGCCACACTGTGTTTACCCGTCTGTCAGTTGATGGACATTTGGGTTATTTTCAACTTTCGGCTAATGGGAATTGTGCTACCGTCAACATTTCCGTATGAGCTTTTTGTTTGAACGCTCTTTTCAGTCCTGTTGGGAACAAACCAGGAGTGAAACTGCTGGGTTGTGTGGTAGTGTTCTGTTTCAATTCTGAGTAACTGGTGACGTTTTTCTCAGCATTTGCAGTGTTTAAAATTCCCATCAGCAGTGTACCAGGGCTCTAATTTCTTTACAACCCTGTCAACACTTCCTTGCTATTTCCTTTTTGCTTGTGTTTGTGTTTAAAATTATAGTCACCCTGGTGGGTGTGAAGGTACGTTCCACTGTGATCTGGATTTGCCACTTAATTTGCCACTTAATTTGCCACTTAATTTGCCACTTAATTTGCCACTTAATTACCACTGACCCTGGGCTTCTTTCCAAGTGCTTGCTGTCTGGAGCTCGCTTTTGCTCAGGCTGGTCTCGAACTCCTCAGCTCAGGCGATCTTCTCACCTCGGCCTCCCAGAGTGCTGGGATTATCGGCGTGAGCCACCTGGACCAGCCCCCTCATCTTATTCTTGATCTTAGACCGAAAGTTGTCTTTCATTATTGTGTATGATGTTAGCTGTGTATTTTTCATAAATTCCTTCTACTATGTTAAGGACGTCCTCTTCTACTCCTGTTTTGTTGAGTGTTTTTATCATGTGAGGGGTTTGGCTTTCGTTAAACGCCTTTCCTGCTTCAGTTGAGGTCAGTGAGATCACATGTCTGCACCTTCATTCTATTCCATGGTGCATCCCACCAGCTGGTGTTTCTTTTTTTTTTTTTAGACGGAGCCTCAAGCTATCCCCCTGGGTAGAGTGCCATGGCATCACGCTCACAGCAACCTCCAACTCCTGGGCTCAAGCGAGTCTCCTGCCTCAGCCTCCCAAGTAGCTGGGACTACAGGCACCCGCCACAATGCCTGGCCATTTTTTGGTTGCAGCCGTCGTTGTTTGGCAGGCCCAGGCTGGGGATTTGAACCCGCCACCTTAGGTGTATGTGGCTGGCGCCTTAGCCGGTTGAGCCACAGACGCCGAGCCCCAGCTGGTGTTTCATATGTGATTCCTCTTGCATTCCTGGGCTGAATCTCATGTGGTTGTGGGATGCAATCCTCTTCATGTTCTGCTGGATTTGGTTTAATTGCATTTTGTGGAGGACTTTAAAATCTATTTATAAGGGCTGTGGTCTGTAGTTTTATTTTGTTTTTGTGTCTGGTTTGGTATCAGGATAACGCTGACTTCATTGAAAGAGTTAAAAAGGGTTCTTCCTCTTTCCTCTTTTTTGAGGGGGGAAAGAGTTTGAAAGGATTGGTATTAATTCTTTTATAAATGTTTAGTAGAATCTGGTATTGAAGTGAACTGGTCCCCGGCTCTCTTTCTGAGGGTGGCATTTGATTGCTGATTTAACCTCCTTACTTGTTCCAGGTTATTCTACTATCTATTCTTGAGTCAGTTCATTCACTTGCAATTTCAAGACACAAATTAATAGAAAGTGGAAGAATGGGAAGATACATTTGCAAAAAAGAAAACAAAAGTTTCATGAAAATGGTAACCAAAAGAGAGATGAGTGGCTATAACAAAATCAGACAAATTGAAGTTTGAGTAAAAAATTGTTATAAGAGACAAATAAGGACATTAAATATTGGTGAAGGTTTTAATATAGGTGGCTCATGCCTGTAATCCTAGCACTGTGATAGGCTGAGGTGGGTGGACTGCCTGAGCTCACAAGTTCAAGACCGGCCTGAACAAGAATGAGACCTCATCTCTAAAAATAGCCGGGCTTTGTGGCGGGTGCCTGTAGTCCCAGCTACTAAGGCAAGGGAATTGCTTGAGCCCAAGAGTTTGAGGATGCTGTGAGCTGTGACGGACGCCACGGCACTTTACCGAGGGTGACATAGTGAGACTCTGTCTCAAAAAAAAGTTTTAATATGTCAAAAAGGAATGAAATTATGTTTATGTACCTAACATCAGATCCCCCAAAATACATAAAGCAGACATTGAAAGACCTGAAGAAAAAATACACAGT